CAAGGGCGACGACACCACATTACTAATGAAAATTCTACAACGCTCGAAATTACCAAGTCCCGTCAATCCATCAACCCAAACCTGAATATTTATAGTCAGATTGCCTTTCCTCCACCGGAAATAAAATACCGAATCTCTGAATCATGCACTGAGTAAACCTTATTTGAAGTCATTCACTGCCCGGATACATAGACAAGCATCCTACCATCACATTAATATTGTGCGATAACAACTCATGAGCATCATAGCAACCTGTGTATAGCCTCAAAGCTCTCAGAAGTAGAGCTACTAAGCTGAAATGACAGAAAATCCTTCAGCAAGGCGAAGATAATAGCCTAATCAATTACGCAGGGAGAAACATCCTGCGCCACATCTGTAGTACCATTAAAATTTCTCAATTCCCAATTTATAACCAGCGATTCACGTTGCATAAGATTGAATGCGAAGGAAATGAAGTCATAAGCCTCCAAGGAATCAAATCGCATGATAAGGAATCAAGAAGGAAAGCGCTCCTAACAGCCGTGTAGCCTCTTGAAGATAAGTACAGACGTCACTGTACCGATCCGCAAGACTCTACTAGACTCGCTCATGAGTCGTGAGACCTAAGTGAACCTAGTGCTCTAATACCATGTTGTCACGACTCAAAATCCATTAAAGGTCATGATGGCGCCGGACACCACTTTCAGGCAAGCCAACACCAAAAAATTAATTTAGTTCTTATTCTAATATTTTTTAAATCATAATTTCCTTCAATCAAAAAGTAAATGATGAACTTTACAGAGTAAATAATAATGTTTTCTTGAAGCAAATTTCAATACCGAATAACCCATAATCATCCCAGAACCCGGTGTCACAAGTGCATGAGCATCAACAAGAAAATAAAATAAAAAACAGCATCTGTCACCCAAAAAAAATTTGGACAGGAAAAAAATACAATTACTCCGAAGGAGACTCTACTGGCTGCGGATCGTAACATGGAATACAGCTCACTTAAGTCCCCGCATCAACCACGCTCCTGCGCCCACAAGGCCACTAGACATACATGTGCCTATACAACAAAATGTGTAGCAAGTGTAGTATGAGTTCGAATACAATACGTACCCAGTAAGTATCTAGCCTAATGCCAGAAGAGTAGTGACGAGAGGTCGACATCGACACTCATTAGTGGTCCAATAACATCAGGTACAGTAAAGAGGTAAATAAATATGAGGCGGAGTAAATAAAGGAATTAAATAAGCACAAAAATACGTGATACAAATTCCCCTCTTTACAATGAACTCAAGCTTCCCATTAGAAATTCCCTTCTTAACTGGAGCACACATATAGGTATAGTGGACCTCATCAAGTAGATTATCATAAATCAAATCCGAAAAGCTCACGGATACACTGGCTTCTCGACGAATATTACGCACGATTCCATGAGGATATGATATAGGAAATGTCGAGGTGTGCGACCTGATCCAACATAATAATTAAACTCTGCACTGTCGAGGGTTGAACGGCACGAACCATAGATGCATCTATTAACCTGCCAAGGCGAACGACCCGCTCCCATGAGAGTCTGGTACACAAATCCTGCCAGGGCGAACACCATGGTCCCATAAAAGTCAAATACATAATCCTGGCGAGGCGAACGGCCCGATCCCATAAGAGTTAGAAGCTTTAACGGGTCCTTGATCCCACTCACGAACAAACGTGTGAGTTATAATGTCTTTAACAATACCTTTCAGTGAAAACACACACACACACACATATATATATATATATATATATATATATATATATATATATATATATATATATATATATCGCGAAATGATTCCGTAAGAGGAGTACAATTACTCAATGAATAATCATGAACTCGTGAAGTCTCTACGTTGGGACTCTCGTCACCTCGCGCGTACGTAGCCCCCACAACAAGTAGCACATATCAATTTACAATACCTAGGGGTAATTTTCCCCCCACAGGGACAAGAGACTTACCTTGCTCAGAAGTTCGATAACCAGCTCAAAAGCCACTGTAACACCTCAAACCGATGCCCAACGCTCCAAAACTAGTCAAACAACGTGCAAACCAATGAAAATGTACTCTAATACTCATAACAATTCAACAATAGCTACCATGTAAAATCCCACAAAGTGGGGTCTAGATAGGGTAATGTGTATGCAGACCTTACCCCTACCCTGACGGGGTAGAGAGGCTATTTCTGATAGACCCTCGGCTCAGAAAGACAGAAACAAAAAAAAACAAGAAAAGACAAATCATTAGTAACTCCAGTAGAAACCGTAATAGTAACAGAAGCATAACAACCAAAAGATAAATGACATGCAATAACAGTAACCAGTATCTAAGGCCAGGGGCTAAGATAAACAGCAAGGATAGTGTGAACTCAACATAAACTGCAAGCCATCTAAGATCAACCCTAATCCAACCCCGCCTCACCCCGGGTATGATGTAATCAAAGCTCTACTACGCCCTAACCTACAACCCTAATGCTTGACCTCTAGACCTTCCTATCAAGGGTCATGTCCTCGGAAAGCTTCAGTCGTACCATGTCCTGCCTGATCACCTCTCCCCAAACCTTCTTAGGCCTCCCTCTACCTCTTCTCGTACCCACCACGGCCAAATGCTCACACCTCCTCACCGGAGCATCAAGGCTTCTTCTCCGCACGTGCCCGAACCATCTGAGCCTCACTTCCCGTATCTTATCATCCACAGAGGCCACGCCCACCTTCTTCCGGATATATTCATTCCTAATCTTGTCTATCCTAGTGTGCCCGCACATCCACCTCATCATCCACATCTCTGCTACCTTCATCCTCTGGATATGGGAGTTCTTAACCGGCCAACACTCTGCCCCATACAACACGGGCGGTCTAACCACAGCTCTATAAAACTTACCTTTGAGTATCGGTGGCACTTTCTTGTCACACAAGACTCCAGATGCAAGCCTCCATTTCATCCAGCCCGCCCCTATACGGTGAGTGACGTCCTCGTCGATCTCTCTGTTCCCCTAAATCATCGACCCAAGGTACTTAAAGCTATCCCTCTTGGGGATGACCTGTGATCCAAGCCTCACGTTCATGCCTACTTCCCTCGACTCAGCGCTAAACTTGCACTCCAGGTACTCTATCGTAGACCTTCTCAATTTGAAACCCTTAGACTCGAGGGTCTGTCTAAATAAACCTCCAACCTCTCGTTAACACCGACCCTCGTCTCATAAATTAGAACTATGTCATCAGCAAATAACATACACCATGGCACATCCCCTTGAATATGGTGTGTAAGTGCATCCATCACCAAGGCAAATAAGAACGGGCTAAGTGTAGAGCCTTGGTGTAATCCCATAACAACCAGGAAATGCTCTGAGTCGCCTCTCACAGTCCTAAACTTAGTCCTAGCTCCATCATACATGTCCTTAATCGCGCTTATGTAGGCTACCGGCACGCCCTTTGCCTCAAGACATCTCCAGAGCACCTCCCTAGGGACCTTGTTATATGCTTTCTCCAAGTCAATAAACACCATGTGCAGATCCTTCTTCTTATCCCTGTACTGTTCCACCAACCTCCTAATAAGGTGGATAGCTTCTGTAGTGGAGCGACCCGGCATGAACCCGAACTGATTGTCGGATATTGACATCGTCTTCCTCACCCTCACCTCCACCACCCTCTCCCAGACTTTCATGGTATGGCTAAGTAACTTGATACCCCTATAATTGTTACAACACTGGATATCACCTTTGTTCTTGTACAACGGTACCACTGTACTCGACCTCCACATCTCCAGCATCCTTTTCGTCCTAAAAATTACATTGAACAACACAGTTGGTCACTCCAATCCTGCTCTACCCACACACTTCCAAAACTCAACCAGAATTTCGTCTGGCCCGGTCGCTCTACCCCTACTCATCTTACGCAAAGCCCCCACGACTTCCTCCACCTTAATGCGCCTGCAATACCTAAAATCTCGGAGACTCTCTGAATGCCCCAAATCCCCTAGCTCTATATCCCGTTCCCCTCCTCGTTTAGAAGACCATAGAAGTACGTCTGCCATCTCTGCTTAATCTGGGACTCTCCCATCAATACTCTACCATCCTCGTCTTTGATGCACCTTACTTGGTCCAGATCCCGAGCCTTCCTCTCCCTCGCTTTAGCCAGCTGAAACAACTTCCTGTCCCCTCCTTTCTCCCCTAATTCCTCGTATAGACGACCAAATACTGCATTTTTAGCCTCCGTGACAGCCGGCTTTGCCTCCTTCCTCGCCACCTTGTACCTATCTCTATTCGCTCTCCTCTCCTCCTCGATTGTGCTCCCTGCCAACTTCGTGTACGCTACCTTCTTCGCCTCCACTTTACCTTGGACTACGTCGTTCCACCACCAGTCGCCTTGGTGCCTGCCAGAAAAACCCTTCGATATCCCTAGCACCTCTCTCGCCGCCTCCCTTACGTAGCTCGCCATCGTTGAGCACATAGTGCTCGCTTCTCCACTACTCCTCCAAGCTCCCATAGAGGATAACCTCCCCTCCAACTCCTGGCTTTATCTTTGGATAAGGCTCCCCATCAAATCCTCGGTCGGCCATGAGCATACCTCTTCTTCCTCTTCATCATAATGCCGATGTCCATCACTAAGAGCCTATGCTGAGTCGCGAGGGTCTCTCCCGGGATAAACTTACAATCCTTGCACAACCCTCTATCACACCATCTGAGGAGAAGGTAATCAAACTTAGTCTTCACCGCCTAGCTTTGGAAAGTAACCAGATGCTCCTCCCTCTTCGGAAAAGTCGAGTTCGCAATCACCAGGTCGAAATCCTAGCGAAGTCTAACAGCGAAGTACCTCCTCCGTTCCCATCCCCAAGGCCAAAGCCACCATGCACCTCGCCATAACTACCAGCAGCCGACCCAATATGGCCATTAAAATCCCCTCCAATAAATAACCTTTCAGTAGGTGGAATATCACGCATAATCTCGTCCAAAACCTCCCAAAAGCGCCTCTTAACAACCTCATCCAAGCCCGTTTACGGCGTAAGCGCTAATGACATTGAGGGTGCACTCACCAATCACCAACTTAATAAACATTAGCCTATCATTCACTCGCCTAACCTTACCGACAGACTCTCTAAGATCCCTATCCACAAAGATACCCACTCTATTTTTACCCCTCGCGACTCCAGAGTACGACAACTTATACCCGTTCGCATTGCTCGCCTTCGACCCTGCCCACCTAGTCTCCTGGACACAAGCTATATTAACCTTCCTCTTCTGGAGAATCTTCGCCAACTCAATAGACTTACCCGTCAGCGTGCCTATGTCCCACGACCCAATCCTCAATCTACAAGCTCCCTCTTTCCCCTTACCCTCCTTGCCTCCCATCCCATCCACTGACCCCCTCCCCACCTCCTTCTCACCCCCGGCACCCCTCGAGGACATGACCTTACTCTACCATCCCAAACCATAGCCACTATACCTACGACAAACCCCGAAAAACACTAACATAGACCCAAACTAGAAAATAACAGGTAGTAACTACAAGTACTTTAATAATATGCTTAAAGTGATGCTAACTAAATAGCCACAATTTAACTAACACAAAGAAAGAGACGAGAAATCGGGAGGTACCAACTACCGATGAAAAGAACCTGGAAATATGACTTGATGCACCCGAGGTCACAGAAATTTGTCGTGCGCCCTTCCAACTCCCGCCAACCTATGCACACACTAGACGGTGATGCTCCGCTCTACTCGCCCATACGCCTCGCGCTTGCCTGGGCAGTCGCAACTAGTTCCCTGAGAATCACACACAACCACCACGAAACTAATAGGGAGGGGGGCTGTCAACCTGTCGCAGGCGTGGACCTGGACAGAGTCAAAAAGGGAGGAACAACGGGGGGGGGGGGGTGGGGGGGGGGTCGACAGGACAAAGGTCGTCGGCGAGGCTGCTAGGGTTTCGGAACTGAAATTTTGGCTCAAGAAGGGTTGGGGAAAACGATCAGCAGGGAAAGAGAGAAGGGATTAAGGGGATAAGATATCAAAAGGGAGTGAGGAGAAGTGAAGAAAGACAGAGGAGAGGCGCTTGGAGGTCGCTAGCTAGAAATTCCAGCATTGAAATAGAGAAAAGAGAAAGAATGAGTGGAGAAAATAGAGAAAAGGGGTGGAGAAGAGAGAGGAGGGGAGGAGGAGAGAGGAAGGAGGGAGAAGACCGGGAGAGAGAGAGGATAACTTACCTGAGGTTGCCGGCGCCGGAAAATCAGAAGGCAGAAAAAGAGAGCACTAGCGGGGAGGGAGAAACTTGATTATTCAAATTGACAAAGTTACCTGATTCATATCTCTCTCACACATACTATATACTCATAACAATTCATTTTACAAAAATTTACAACTCTGCTCGGAAAGTCAATAAAATCACCCTCGGGCCCACCTGCTCGGATTCTGAAATTTTCAAAGATAAACATTACCCATAACATTACGAACTCAAATATATGATTTATTCTCAATTTCATGCCCAAATTCGTGGTCAAAATAAAAATTCATGGTTAAAATCCAAAAAGGCCCCAGGCTCCGCTGCTTCGCATTCGCGGTTGGAGCTCCACGTTCACGGAGGCTAAATGGCTCCATGCCCAGTCCCCTATTTCCTTCTACGCGTTCGCGATAGACCCTTCGCGTTCGCTTATTATACTCAGGAAACCCCTCCCCGTCTGTGACCTCTACCTTGCGTTCGTGAAGGCCAAAACCCAGTGGCCTCAAACTCCTCTAGCCCAACGCGGGACTCTCTTCGCATTCGCGAAGAAGGAAACCAGATACCAGATATCAACCATTCCAAAACAGCCCGAAATGATCCGAAACTACTCCAAAACACACCCGAGGCCCCTGAGGCCCCGTCCAATCACACAAACCAGTCCCATATAACACAGACCTGCTGGAGGCCTCAAGTCACATCAAACAACATCAAAATCATGAATTGCACCCCAATTCAAGCTTAATGAACTTTAGAACTTCAAACTTCTACATTCGATGCCGAAACCTATCAAATCATGTCCGATTGACCTAAAATTTTGCACACAAGTCATATTCGACATTACGGACGTACTCCACCTTCCGGAATCGGAATCCAACCCTGATATCAAAATCCACTTCCGATCAAACTTCTCAAAAACCTTCAAATTTCTAACTTTCACCAAATGACCCCAAAATGACCTACGAACCTCCAAATCCACTTCTGGACACGCTCGTAATACTAGAATCACCATATGGAGCTATTCCCAGACTCGTAATCCCAAATGGACATTGATAACATTGAAATGCACTTCAACCTAAATCCATGAAATTCTTCCAAGAATGCTAACTTCCACAATAGGCGCCGAAACGTTCTCAGGTCATCGAAAACCCTATCCGAACATATGCCCAAGTCCGAAATTATCATACAAACCTGCTGGAACTTCAAATCCCGATTCCGAGGTTGTTTACTCAAAAATCCAACCTTAGTTAATTCTGCCAACTTAAAGCTTCCAAAATGAGAATTTTCTTTCCAAATCAACCGTGAACATCCTGAATTTCAACTTCGACCACGCATACGAGTCATAATATCTGAAGTGAAACTGCTCATGGCCTCAAATCGCTGAACGATGCGTTAGATCTCAAAACTACCGGTAAGGTCGTTACATGATTAAAACAGGCGCCGTTGCCGGTGAACAATTTGGCGTATTTAGGTTGTTTGAGAAATAAGCATAAGTGTTTTGGTCCAAAATTGTAAATATTTGTGTAATTAATTTTTCTTTTCTTAGTTCATTTTCTTGTTTGTTTCTTGTTTATTTCTTAGTTTTTGAAAAATGGCATCGCATAATGAAAATTGGTCGGATGGTAGTTTTTCATATATTGATAACCCTTGTCCTCATTGAAACTCTAGATGTCCAAAAAGCCTCGAAAGTGAATGATGGCCTAGAACCTCCCTTAGATGTGGAAGCCAAAAATCCTTCCTTGGCACTGGATCAAAACCAAGAAAAACTCTCAAATGCTAAAAATGAGAGGACGATGCTCATGTTGGAGACCATTTTTGAAAATGAGGAGAAGCACGACTTGGCACTCGAGTACTTGAAACAAGTCTTGGCTCAAAATGATGAGAATATTCGCACTTTAGAAGATCGAATGAAAATATTGGATGAAGATCACTATGCCCACCAACTTGAGAGTGGGGAAAGAAGTTAAGAAGAGTCCAACTTCGAGGAAGAAAGTGAGCTTTATTTTGAGGAATCAAGAATTGAACATCCGCCAACCGACTTCATGCTTGATAGATATGCCAAGAAACATATGGAATTAGAGTCAACTAAAAAAATTGAAGATTTGGTTGAAGTTGACTCTAGTCCGGGGGGAAAAAAGAGGATGTCAAAATCCTGGAAAATTGCAATTTGAAGGCTTGAGGTTGCATTCGAAGCATTTTTTCAACTTTGGAGTTGCATGGTGATATGGGGAATTGAGCAGTGCGAATCCATATGGAAATGCAAAGAAGAAAAACAAGAGCCATACATTTTGCAATTTGCATATTTAAGAAGGCAAAATGACATTCCTCACAAGAAAGCCAAGAAATGCAAAATGAAGAAATTAATGTGTGGCTTGATCATCTATTAACTCCCCCCCCCCCCCCCTTGCTCATGGTCACAAGCTTGATTCCAAGTTAGGTGCCCAATTCATATCGTACAAGTGGCGAGAAAAGTGGTAAAGTGATTCACGTCGTGCCACGACGTTAAATGCGGCGCTTGGTGGGAGGCAACCCATCATTTTCAAATTTTTTGGTCATTTTTCAAATTTTCTTTTTTTTTAGAATAGCTTAGTATATTATTTTTGACTAATCTACCAAGTTTTAGAATTTATGGAGTTGACTTAAGCAGGTCGGGTGACGAAAAGCCAAAACCTAGTAGCTGAAAATTTCAGAAGCATCAGTATTGGCATTTGCGAACTTTTGTTAACATTTGCGAACATGGCCCAATCGAAAAATCGAAATAAGGGTCACATTTGCGACCTCTGCTAAAATTTTGAATTTCGCAATTGCGAAGAGGGGGTCGCAAAGGCAACCTTAGAGGCACTTAACTGGGTCTCGCTTTACACTTGCCAAAAATTACAAAAAAAATCTATTAATGCTTTAAAATTAAACGACTGGTATCTTCTTCCTCACTCTCTCAACTTCGAAACTCCCTCATTTTCACTCCTAAGTGCAAGCATCCAGGTATGAGATCTTTACCTTTGAATCATCATCATCTTCTTCTTCTCTCCATGTGCTATCAAATACTAGGGCTTAAATAAATTTTTCTTTTCTGTGCAAAAATGGTTGAAAACAACAGAAATTATGTTGTCATTTTTGGGTGAGGTTGGTTGAGAGTGTGAGCCTATTTCTTCTAGAAAAATGGGGAAATCTGAGTACCCATGGCTTTGTGAAAATAGAAGTGATTTTGTGTGCTTACTATGTGATCGATGAAAGGCTCGAATGAAATACTTGGCCGAATCATTGAAATTTCTTCACTCGTGGTTGTGTGTGAAGTTTATTGCATGTTTTTGGGCCTAAAAACTGATTGGGTTGTCTAAAATTGAGCCTTTGTTCGAAATTTTGGGGCTTGGGATTGTTCTCTGAGAGAAGTTGAGTGGGGACGACGAGATCGCAATTGCGATGGCCTCTTCGCATTTGCGATCTTCGTATATGCGAAGAGGTGGTCGCAATTGCAAAGAAAGTCATACCCGGCAATCTTTGCATTTGTGAAGATGAGCTCGCAATTGCAAACTCTGTTAATTTTTTTTGCCTTCGCAATTGCGAAAAAATATCACAAATGAGACATCAGAGAGCAGACTTCTGCAAATTTGAAAATCTTGAAATTTTTTCTAAGGCTGGGTTTCGACTATCCAATTATTTCTTTGGCATGTTTGACTCATTTTGCAATGTATTTCATAGCCATACCATATTTTCACTCCAAAACTTTCTTTACATGTATCGTAAGATGAAAATGAGCTCTAACTCCGATGAATCCGCGCATGAAAATCCCTTGGAAGTTGAGGAGAATTATGACCAACACCGATTCTTGTCATTGGAATGTCAGGAGCAGTACTATGCCGAGTTGATTTCGAAGAAGTTGCTCCCGAAAAGTGGTATAGTGTTGGTAAGGTCCCGGAATGTCTTCCCGAGTTCCATCAGAGGCTTGTAGACATGGGATGGACCTATTTTTCCCCTCAACCTTGCAGAGCCAATGAGCAATGGGCGAGGGAGTTTTATGCGAATCTTCCAGCAATCAGGTTAAAGAAGCCAAAGATGAGGATTCGCGGTAAAATGGTGCATTTCAGAGCTGAAGTTGTGAACCAAGTCTATCAACTACAAGACCATGACATGGCCCCATTCCATTCAAAAGATTGTGACTCAGGGGAGTGGCTGGTCACCAAATTATGCCCGGGTG